ATATATAAATATATTTTAAGTATTTTATTTCTATTGAGACTTGAATTTTTCTTCAAGCACAAGGAGCTGATTAAATAGCTGATAATATAGCGCGTAGTGATTATTATTAAATCTTTATCTCTTTTAGATTTTAATATCAGATAGATTCATTACTTTTGAGGATTAATATGTGAAACTTGGTTACGTGACTTCGCAGTTAGTTTCATATCATCAAATAGCGGAGATAAGGATAAATTAAGCAAGAAATGTTCTCAAATAAAAAACAGGATCTTACGTTCCTACGTCGATTACGCACAATTAGCTGTTTTTAAGTTAAATTTGATCGAAAGAGTTCATTAGAGAGATTATCCTATGCGTTTGAGGTATAGAAAGTTGTATAGCTCGGATGAAGAGATAGTATACCCACAAATGCTTTCATCTTGTCCAGATAAGTCTACTCAGAACAAAGAAACATTATTTCTCTCTAAATATATATTTTATGATAACTGTAGAGATATTAAAGAGATGTCTGGGATAGTTAATATATGCATCACTAAAAATATATTTGTACTTTGATCTCACTGATTATCATTATCTTTTATCAGATATCATATTGATATCATTATCTCAGCTACTTCTACTAGAAGATAACGTTACCGTTTTTTTTTTTTTTTCGATTATGCAAACATAATTGCGAATTGCAATACACAAATATAAACTCGATACGCGCTCGTTCCGAAAGCTCTATTTAATAGAAATGAAGACGTTAAAAACAACGGTTCCGCTGACGTGATTGTCTAAGTCTAACGGAACAGCTGATGAGGATACTGACGGCATATATTCCACGTATCCTCTTCACGTCTCTCTGCGAATCATTCTTGAAAAATGTCTCGCTCATACGTTCGTTATCACGAGAAATAGGATCAAATAACAATCTCGAGTCATCCACTCGCATTCTTTCAAGCCATTCGATAGCAATGACTATTATATATGCGTCTGACGCAAGCTGTTTTGTATTACAATCGCTTAACGAAAGAACGCCGCGCGACAATAGTTGGAAATAAGATCCGACAGTTTATAAACAAAGAGGTCCCGAGCACAAAGATTGTCGCAACCAATGCCAATAAAGTAAACATAAATCGGAGATTTAAGTCAACATTTAGGCTGTATCTGTTACATGTGTTGAACATTAACGTCAATCATTTTACGTTAATTTATACCTCCGACTTATGTTTACGACTGTATTGGCAATGGTTACGACAATCCTTGTGCTCATTGTCCGGCCCAGACAGAGAGAGAGAGAAAGAGGAGCAAAAGCGTAGTGGAAAGAATAAAAAAAAAAAAAAAAAAAAAAAAAAAAGAAAGAAAAAAAGGTAAAATCGCTGATCACAGAAAGGTTGCAAGATGCAAAATGGCGGAGAAGGCGAGACAAAAATGGCGTAGTTACATATACTAGTCGCGCCGCTATATATACTCACCAATTACTGGAAATTAAACTCGGCATTATCGGCTTTTTACTACTTTCACTTTTACTTAACGACCGACTGGAGTTAATACTCATACTTCTTTCTTCGTAAAATTTTGGCGGCTTTAAATGCACTGGTCCACCGCGAAATATTCGCTGGAACAGCGATCGACGAGTAATGATTGCGTGTGGCGGCTTTCGTTAAGGTAAAACTGAAATGCGCAAGATCAGAATATCAGATGCGTTCGTTACAGTGTTTCAAGTGACACTGCTGGAGCCACAGTAGGCTCGACGAGTGTAGCGCACGGCTTCGTGCCACGTGATTTTGCTTCTCTCGATATATCTCGAAAACTATTTGAGATATCAAGAAATGTTCTATACAAAAGTTTCATGGCAAAAACAGCTCTATTTAACCACATTAATACAAATTTTAAAAAATGATTTTTTTTAAGGATTATTTTTTTAAATTTTTATTAATGTGGTTAAATAGAGCTGTTTTTACCATGAAATTTTTGTATAAAACATTTTTTGATATCGCAAAAAGTTTACATATGAGGGGTGCTTTCACTTCTTAAAACCATTTTTGAGCCACAACTGAAAATGTCTTAATTCATCTATTGACCGTCCCTACATGTCTATAAAGTTTCATCAAAATCAGAATTTTCGGGTTCACGAAGTTCCCTTGTCAGTCATAAATTATTATAAATTATATATTCTATTTTATTTATAAGACGAACACAGTCAATATATTTCCAGAATCTCTTAGAGCAACTTTTTTTATTCATTGCAATATACAATATATTTTGTTGCGCATTTCGGAGACACAAATACGCGCTCATGCATAAATAAATAAGTGAATACTCTTCGCGTTCTTTTTTTAGGATATAATAGGAAATGTGGAAGATTCTCTCGAATGTACGTTTTCTAGCCACACAGAGAATATTTGAACTTGATAGAGGAAAAGATGAAAGTACATACATGGCCCATATCAGCGTAAATCAAAATGCTCAGCCTTCGCTCTGAAGACCAGTTACCTTCAAATTCTTTCAAGTATATCTTAGAAAAATTTGGAATGTCCGCGGAATTCAGATATCTCGCTAAAGATCGCACAACGATGTGTGTCTTACTATCAATATCACTAAATGCTCATAAATCGGAGTATACGTCAAGGCACAATGCGCTAGATTGTTCTTTATCTACCATTGTTTAACTAATTTAAACTCTTATATAAAAAGGGATAACCTCCTTTTCTCCCACAGTGTACATAATAGTGTTTCGTTACGATTCCATCGAGATAAATCGCCATATAGGTACACATACTATGATATGATACTTCAAAAATGAAACTGCTTCAATAGATTTGATGGCAAAATAAACGAGAATGATAATAATACTCTCTTACATGTAATTAAGTAGCTACTTAGCCGCACATCACCTGGCGAACAAAGTCTTCGTAATTGATATTACCCTGTGAATCTTCATGACCTGCCAATAATGTTTCTACTTCTTCATCGCTAAGTTTCTCACCTGTAGTAATATACAAAATAAAAATCCTGTTTCTTTTTTCATAAATGCGCATTTGCAATACGTACCGAGCGTCGTCAAAAGGTGTCGCAATTCCGCAGAAGATATAAAGCCGTTTCCGTCTTTATCGAAATGACGCAGACCCTCGATAAAGTCATCCGCTGTGTCGGACGTACGGGACTTACTGATTGCCTGGTAGATCGGCAAAAATACCTCAAAACTGATACGCTCGTCCGGTTTGTGTTGGTGAGTAAACTTCTTCACATCCGATTCAGTCGGATTCTGACCAAGAGCTCGTAATGCGTCGCCAATCTGGGACACATGGATTTTTCCATCCCCGCGGCTATCAAACAACTGAAATGCTTCCTGGAATTCTACAGTGCAATTCTACGTTTACTTTTCATCACACAAACTCAATGCTTAATTTATATTTTGTGGATATACCCATATAATAAAATAATTTTAGAAAATACTAAAATTGTTGAAGTATATTTTTTTAAATTAAAGATGTAAAAGAAGGGTAACAATTTTATATAATTTCTTTTGCCACTCTTTAAATCCATTTTAAAGTACATTGTAATTAAATCATCTAATTTAAAAGATTGCAAGCGAGTGGAATATTGATAGTCTCTCTACCAATATTCTAAACCAATAAATATAGTTTACCCTCCATAGATGACATCATTCTATTAGCCAATTCTTGATAGCTGTAGCCATACATCCTGCACTTTTTTGTGAAAGACAAGATCTACTATACTTAAAGCTATCACTACACGTAACAACCAGAATACTAGAAATTTATTTTCTATCGAACAATCTGTTCCTAATCACGTTTTGTATCAATGAAGCACATAACTCGCGAGAGTATAAAACCAGAATAATCGGCAAATCTTGATCAGAAGAGGCGGGATCGCGATTAAGTCGTCGACGACTCGCCAGCAGCTTGCTTTCAAATACCGAACCATAAAAGGCAATCCTCGGTAAGCGCGCGCGCACCAGAGTTTAAAAAGGCGATGATACTCTTGACCTGAATTAAAAGCCCGGGGGAAAAGAGCGCGGTACAGCATGGACCCCCCTTGATCGCTCGCCTCTTTTGATCTCGCTCTGCACTGACTGTTGCATACAGTCGCCTTCGGACTTACCGGCCAGCTGATCCTCGGAGTAAGACGCCTGCGAACATACACACGTAGCGATTCATTTAGACGCATGCTCATCGTGCTTGGCACGACTCGTCGTTGACGCGCTTCTATAATTCTCAACGATACTCACCATTGTTGAACGCTCCTTCGGTAATGGGCTGCAGCAGCGAAGAATGACAGATCCACACGTCACACGCGGATCTACGTATCAGGCGGTGCCCAGTGAACTCTATAGCGAAGACACTTGGTTTTCGCCAGTGGTGACGTAGAGCGGAAGTGAGTCACGATCTTAACGCGTGAATGCTCTTATCCTTTTCTTTTTAGGTCAAATTCCCGTGGAATATCGTGGACTTTGTGCAATTGCCGTGCGATCGAGCGAATGTCACAGAGTCTCTAACATTGCTCTGATCGCTCTGAAGCTGACAGACGCTGGTAGTTTTCGTTCGATTTCGTTTTACAGACTGTAGAATTTTAAGAATGGTGTCATCTATTGGCAGCTTCTGGCATTGCAACGCAGCATCTAGCGATGAAGTGTCGAATTACATCCATATTTTATAAACTGTTTCAATTCTTGAAATTTTGATTGAAATAACATTTTTTCATCGGATCAGGAGAATATCAATTTAAAAAGAATTTTATACCAGTAATTGAAAAATTGCATACAGTTCTGAAACACAAATTTTATATAATATGTACTATATATACTCGTAATAATATATATATATATATATATATTTATATAGAAAATTAATTTTATTTTACATGCGCATATACATATAAAAATACTTCGATAATAATTTATTATCGCTGTCCAAGCATCTGACACGTGGCACAAAGTGGATCTGGCCATATAGTTCCACCGGCTTTAAAACGGATCCAGTTAGCGCTGCTGTATCAGCTAGAATCATAGATATATAGACTGGATTGAGCATTGTGAGATAGACAAACGATTTTGATTTTTTAGAGGAAAATCATTTTTTAGTTTTTTATTCTATATGAAAATTATTTTTCAAGGAAAAATGTTTTTAAAAGTTACTTTTTAGAGATAAATAATAAACTTTTTTTGCGTACAAGTTGGGATTTTTTTATATACTTGGCGTNGCTTATGATTAATTTCAAAACAAGTCGATCAGTTTGGCACGGGGCACTTTTAAACTCGAAATCCATTCTGTATGTGATCGACGTTATTGCAGTAAGGGTTAAGTAGTTTTATGATGTAATATTTGTAATAAAATCCGCAATATAATTGTGCTAATTGTGCTAT